TAATGAGCCCTCTAAATGAAAGGAAATGTGATTATTTCCAGAGCTACCTCAAGCCTTCATCCTCTGCCCAGAAGTGATGCTGGGATGAGGGAAATTCATTTGAGTCAGTAGTGCCTGAAGCACTTCACAAAGCAGGTCCCAGATGTAAACCCCACTAAGTATAAATAATAATGCTAATAACATCTCATTCATCTTGTCTTTATCTCTGGGCCTGGGAGGATCAAGCCTGATAGACACAGCTTCAAAGGCGGCTCCCATCCTGGATCTGGGAATGAGTGTGTTCCAACAAGTCTCTCCAAACTCCGTTCCCGAATTCCCAGCAGTTAGAGATTCCAACTCATCTGAAGTGGTATTTGAGCCCTTCAGCCTATGATTGCCTTTAATAAGCTGAGTGGCACAAACTCCATCAGCACCAGCAGGGAAGAAACCCGATTTCAAGAGCCACGTGTTCTGTTGCTTCATCTTCCTCCATCCCCACAAGTAGTTAGAATACTTTCATGAAGTCAATCAAATCTTTTACTTGTCAAGACAGCTTAAAAACTACCGCAGGCTGTGGACAGCATGGCAGCATGAGGCTGGCAGTGAGCAAGACTGCTAAAGAAGAGACACTCTGGGGAACCGGTGAGGCTTCATTATCGTGGCAGAGACGAGAGAAGAATCTACAAGCCGGAGGGTGGATTCCCTGAGGCTTACACTGGCTCCGGAGCGGCTGGCCAGAGACTACATAGCTGCAAAATAAACTTTAAGCAGCAAAGTAGACGCCATGTTAGGTAGTGGACAAGTGGGCCACAGATAGAAGTCTGGGCAGTGCCAATCAGCCCCGTGGATTTGGTCCAGCTGCTAGACACAGGCTCGAGGACAGGGCTTCGGGCCTCAGATTAGAACAGGAAGAGCTAGACAGGGCCTCTGCTCTGAGTGGCTGGAAGAAGTGAGACACAAACCCCAGAATGAACCACAGCCCACAGTGGAGAAGGTGGGCAAGGCCCAGGTTCTCTTCCACCCAAACCTCGATCATGTGGGGGATTCCCACTCAAGAACGTTCCATTTGGAGAATCCTTTGGCCCCTCTCAGTCCAGACTAACCAGGAGAGACTTAATGGAAATTTGTAGGAAGAGGATGCCTAAGAAATGTTGGTTTAAGGATACCTCGATTTCATAGGTTGTTCTAAGGCTTGGAATAGGTCATCAAGAGCTATTTAGATAAAAAGGCAACGTGGAGAGAGGTAAGGCATGGAATGGCAGCCACATCATCAAAATACCGCAGTTTGCTCAACCCCATCCTTTTACATCTGCATGGCCCAACTGGCTGCACACTCCAGTCATCTCCATCAGTGGTTCTCAACCTTCCTAATGCTTCGATCCTTTAACACAGTTCTTCATGTTGTGGTGACCCCCGGCCATAAAATTATTTGCATTGCTACTTCATAACTGTAACTTTGCTATTATTATGAACTGTAGTGTAAATATCTGTGTTTTCTGACATGCTCACAGGTCGTTCAAACTCCCCCTCCCCCCAGGAGTTGAAAATTGCTGATCTAGACAGCTTTACAATTCTCAGTTCCTGGCCTACCTGAACACAATCACATCAGAATCTTTAAGAATACCCATACATTGCTAATCTTCAAAGCTCCCTGGTGACTTTGTTATCTGTCCTTGAATGGAACCATGGCTGCTTTAATTCTTCATGGGTAAAATGCAAACCAGTGGCAGCATGTCCCCTGGCCCTGGATAGAAATTCAGAATCCCTGGCCTGTCGGGCCCAACAGAGGAGAATCCAAGCACAAGCTCCTTCAGTGAGGTGAGGAGTTCAGGTTTTGGTTAGTGGGTGGGTGGTTATTAGTTGGTTTGTTTTGGTTTTGCTTGTTTTCTTCAGATAGGATCTCATGCAGCCCTAGCTGCCCCAAAACTCAATATGTAGCTAAGGATGACCTCGAATTTCTCTTCTCTGTTTCCCAACTGGTAAGGTTACAGGCTTGTGTGACCATGCCTGCTAAGAAGCACAGTCGAGAACAGTGTGTCATACCCTTGTGTTAGACCCCCGAAAACTCAAGTATCCGGGGTCTCTGGCCAAGTTCTCGGTCACCCCAATCACCAGGCGGATTCGAGAGCTTGCTACAAACTGCACGAGGCTTTATTGTAATTTAACGAGCTAACCCCATGTTAGCTCGGGTCTTTCACCCACCCGCCATGGCAGATGGCTAGAAAAGACAGTTCGAAGCTGCTGCATACAGATCTTTATAGGGCAGCATAAGGGGAGTGTCTAGGGGTACGCACAGGTTCAGGATTGGTGTGCCTCCAGGCTTGGAGGGTTTGCCCTGTGTTGATTGGTCAACTGGTTGTTATGGCCCATAGGCCCTCCCAGGTTGGTTGCTATGCTCTCTGCGTCATTGCTGTGCGCTTGTCTGTAAAGCACATCCAGAGCCATAAAGCATAGCACCACCAGCTAACTTCTGATTGGTTCCTTGTCACGAGACAGGCATCTGACCTCTAAGTGACCAAGGCAGGTTTATGGCAGGCAAGTGTTCGGCTGTTATGGCTGCCGAAAAGGGAGCAGGTCCCTTCACTTGGACTCACTGGGGAGCTTTAAAAAATATTGGTGCCTGAGGCATGGTCTGAAGCATTGCTTTGTGCCCAGAACCAACATGAGGGAAGGGAGACCCAGAACTGTGGAGAAACCCCCCAGTACAGGTGACTGTGGTGAGGCAAGGCACACACTGATGGATCAACCTTGCAATGTCCAGCTCGCCATCTCAGAAGAAAGACATGGGAGGAATAGGTCTGGTTACCAAGATACCAGCCCCTCACCCCAAAGAAGCAGCAGTGGGTGGCCAGCAAATGCCTGCAGATGTGAAGATGATGAGAGTGAAACAAACGTTCATAGCAACCTCCAAACCCCTTGATAGTTCACTATGACCATGGAAGCTGAGCCTTTTATCAAGCTCCCAGGAGATCCGCTGCAACTGCTGTGGTGGTGGCTGCGGCATCTTCTGTGGTAGTAACGGCTGCAGCTGCTGCTGTTATAGGTCTAGGGCGTTCAGAGACTCACCAGTCTGATAATGAATGAATTCTAAGGGAGGCTTTATTAGCTAGAACCACACCCAAGACTCGGGATTCTCAAAGTGTGTCCCCAGCTATTGTTGATCTGGGGTTTATAAAGGCAAAAACCACAAGGTTACAGTTTGGGGTCGAGTTAGAACTCATCCTGCCTACGTGCAGGCAGAGCTTAACTTTTGTACTAGATGTCTTGCAGATGCCTCAGCTTGAGCGAGCAAGCATTTTCATACAGAAGCAGAACCGGCAGGTAGCCCCGTGACCCATTATCTAGTATGAACACTAGGGGCAGCTAAACATTTTTCACAAGACTAGGCAGTTTTAAGACTGGCCCAAGTATTCCAAGAAGCCATCCATCTTGGGCAAGTTAGCTGACAGGCTACAGTCTACAAAAAATGCTTACAAGCTAGAGCAATGGCACAGCAGTTCTGAATTTCTATCACAATGTTAGTCATCGCATGCTCCCTTTGAGCTGTGTCCTGGGTCAAATCCTTGACTCTGTGGTGGGTGCCTGTTCATACTGAGATCTAATAGCCATTAGTAGAGTAGCACCCACGTGTGAACTTATGTATCTGGTTAAGGCGTTGATGTTGTAGGGACCAACAGTAGTCAGCAGGAGCAGGAGGGCTGAGCGCCCAGTGACCACTGACAGCAGAGTTGCTAGCCAGGAGAAACCAGAGAATGAGAATGGGAACCATTTGTCTCCCTCACTTAAGGCCTTCCCTTTCTTCCAGGTTTTTCTGGAGCACAGACAAATTATCTCTAATGATTCCTGGGTGGTTTACATAGCAACAATTCTCCCCTAAAGCCATACAATAACCTCCTTGCTCTGCAGAGAGCAAGTCCCATGCCGTAGAACCACCTTAGCTAATGAACCCACCTGCTTTTCTAGCTTGGCAACAGATTTTTTTTTCCTAATATGGATAGATCTTGGGTTATCTCCCAGGTTTTTTAAGTTAATGTCAGTCATTGCTGATTCTGTGGCACCGGAAGCAGCATCTGCTGTAGCTAACCCTAACTTTATTGAGAGGTGTGAGGAGGGGGATTGCACATTGCTATCTTTTGTTTGTTTTTTTCTTGCTCTGGGGGACTGGAAGAGTCTGTGAATGTAAGTGCTCTCTCCCTGCTGGACTATCCTAAATATAGATTCAGGGGGAACAGAGATACCAAGAAACAGAATTTTGGGGCTTGATGCATATACCAGATAGGCAAGCATGCATGGGTATACTCCATCAGTACAGTCAGGCCAAACAGTTTCTGCCAGGTGGTGAAGCACCTGACAATGTGGTTGCCAGGAGCTGAGAAATATTTACAGTGAATCTGTGTTTATTCTTAAAGGGGGATTTGGACATATTACAGCTCTTTGAGTAAAAATGGGTCCCCTCACCTTGAATTTGGTCTGGATTAAGATATTTGATGATCTGGGCTGGATAGATGGCTCAGTGGTTAAGAGCAATGGCTGCCCTTACAGAGGTCTTGAGTTCAATTCTCAGCAACCACATGGTGGCTCACAACCATCTATAGTGGGATCTGGCACCCTCTTCTGGCATAAAGTTGTACATGCAGATAGAGCACACACAACGTACCCGCGCACGCGCGTGTGTGTGTGTGTGTGTGTGTGTGTGTGTGTGTGTGTGTTAAAGAAATTTGATGGTCAACTGGAAAGACCCCATGGACAGTTGGCAAAGGGAGTGATCAAAATGGTGTTCTGATATATAACAAGTCCTATGTAGTGTGGGTTTTTAAAGGATACAGAACCAACAATATAATATAACATTGGGGTTAGAAACATTCATGAGCAAGTAAATGGTATTAACATGTTCATTAGGGATTTAAAAGAGGCAGAGGAGTAGGGTTAGAGGGAGGAGGGGGGTGGTAGAAAGCGATGTCAGTTGGTGAGCCCCATCGGCAGGGCCAGGGCAGGTACAGTAGCTGGTTTGGTTATAGCATTCAAATAAAGGAATTTTGAGGCGTGAACTTGGCTAAAGCTCTAAAGATGAGTATCTTAGTCTTCCCGTCAAAAGCTGTATCCCTCTCATTATGTCTATAGACATAACCCACGACCCCTGTTCTCCACCTATCATTCCAGGGATCAGGGATTGAGTAGGTGACCTTAGTATGCCAATCAACTGAGTTGAGTCTGGATGGATTTTCTCCTCCCCATCTGGGCCAAGTACTATGATATTTGCAGCCCCAGTGTGGACATCCTCCATAATTTGGGTCCTGACAGTCTGATCGAGTTTGCTCATAGACAAAACAGACATATATAGGAGAGGACATAGCATTGTAAAAGTCATTTATACATTTCCCTTGACAGGTATCTCTTATATCAAAAGTGAGACTTATAGTACTTGCACACCCTGTAATAGGACAGAAGGTAGAGGCTATGGTCTTGTTGAGATTTTCCAAGGCAAGTACATGGAACTTCCATGCCCTAGGGGTTGGTTTGGTTGGTATTGGAGCCCTGGGAGGTTGGCATTTCCAATTTGGGTTCCAGGAAAGAACAGAAGGGAATATAGCCAGACAAAACAACATCATTAAGTTAAAACCCATGTCACTCTTATCTTTAGTGGATCTTCACAGGTCATGATGACAGTCCACTTTTCTTTAGCTAGGTCGTCGTTCCCAGTGGCACACTGGTCCTGAGGGTGATGTTTCCAGGTGTGGATGCTGGAAGCTATCTACCTTGAAAGCAGTGGAGGTGATCAGGATGAGGGGGTATGGTCACTTCCAGTGGAGTCCCAGTGTCTCTTGATCCACACCTTATCTCCTGGCTGGAAGGGGTGTGGATGAGGTTGTGGCTTTGGAAAGCAGCCTTAGATGAGGAGGCCACAGTGTCCTGAGTCAGCTGCAAAGCCTGTATAGATTGAGGCAGTTGATGGTTAGTAATTTTGGTGGCTACTTCCATGTCAGCGAGGATGGGGGGATCTCCCAAATAGGATTTAAAATGGAGTTAAACCTTTTACACAAGAGTACATTGAGCCCTAAGAAAGGCAAAGGGAAGGAGCTTCATCCATATTTCACCAGTCTCCAAAGTGAAGTCAAGATCTGATTTATCCTCTCTAGTCGTCCTGAACTTTACAGATGGTACACACAATGTAATTTTTAATTGATCAGCAGAAATGCTCTCAGTAACCATAAATATAAAGACAATCCATTATCTGACCCTATGAACAACAGCAGTCCAAAACTAGGTATTATTTTATCCTTTCCAATATGTATTTCTGCCCTTAGTTTGTGGAGCAGGTCACATCCCAACAGAGGGTACAGACACTCGGGCATGGCTAGGAAAGAGTGGGTCACAGTTCCCTTTCCCAGGCCCACAGTTCTTTGGCAGTACAAGAACAGATTTCTGAACCAGTAGCTCCTTGTATCATAGTCTGTTTCTTACTTACTGGCCCACTTTCCTTCTTAAAAACCAAGTAGTGGCCCCCATATCCACAAGGAAATTGATTGGAATCCCCCCAGTACACACTTTCAGAGTAACCCTTGGCTCTAGGGGAGGGGTGGCTGAGCCCTGTCAATCTGTATCTAGCTAGAGCATAAATACAGACATTCGTTTCTCCAGTGGTTGGTTTCTTTATAGTAATAGCAATAGCATTCAGTCCTTTGGGGGCACTGTCTTTCCAATGCCAGTTTCTCTTTCCTTAAGGGAACCTCTCCCAGCACCCACTTCCCTTGGCTTTTGTTCTTCTTTCATAAATCTTGGGTGCCAAAGCCCTGTTCCCCAGTAAACTGCCACCATAATCTTAACTAATTTCTTAGTCCACCTGTCCCCCAGAATGTCCCTATTGCTGTATTCCCTGGAGGCAATCTCAACTAGCTCTGACAGTACCTTTCCTTCAAAGCCCTCCATTTTCTGATTCTTTCTAATGTCTGGTGCTGATTGATTGAGAAACAAAAGCTACATTAATAACCCACTGGTTTTCTGGGTCCTCCTGGTCAATGGATAAACTTCTAGGAGGCACTTGAAAGAAGCAGATGGCAAATCATCTGAACCCTGAGTTATCTACCCTGGACAAATTTGTGGGACATTTAGCTGCAGTCCAGAGACACCCTCTCCCCAATGGAGTCTGGTGGAAGAGGTGAAGAGACTCCCTATCTTTGTGGGAATTCGGATCCTAATGTGGTTGTTGGGAAGGAAAAGCTTAATCAGTTGTCACGAGATCAGATCTCCCACCCACCATTTCCCAAGACCTGATTTGACCTTTTCATCTCATCAGAATCCCTCTCCTCTTTAGTGAAGAGGGATTGAAGTAGCCACTGACAGTCCATCCAAGTCGGTCGGTGTGTGTGAAACACCATTTCTAGCAGAGAGATTAAGCTTTTTTTTTTTTTTTTTTTTTTTTCTGAGAAAAAAAAAGAGATTCCAATTATACAGATCGCTAGTGGAGAAGAGAACACAGACTGAACTGACTGATGGTCCCTCCTGCCTTCCCCATCCTGCATGGTTCCCCATGCCGGGGGGGGGGCTTCTCTGAAGGGGAGGATAGCCAGAGGTGGAGATGGGGGGGGGCATGTATCACGGAGCCACACAAGTGAAATGTCCTTCAGCAGGCAACCTAGGGTCTACAGGATGTGTCCTGAGAGGGAAGCAAACGGGGACTCTATCACAACCTCAGTGAGAGCAGGCAGAGATGAGGGGCCTGAGAGAAAGTCAGAGGGGGCCTGGAGGTCAAAGTCAGAGACAGTGATAGGGAGATAGATGGGTAAGAGGACCCACTCCGGGTGTGAGCAGGACTCAAGAGTGCCTCTGGCCACAGATAATGCCCCAGGTACATAGGGTGGGGCACTTCTTCTTCTGGTAGGACTGGAGGCTGAAATCTGTCCTGCCCCTTGGTGTCTTATTGATTTTGGCGGTGTTAGGGGAAGGATTTGGCTGGTGCTTTCTCATCCAGGATGGAGATTCTTCTACCAGAAACCTCCAGACCAGAATGTAGGGCAGCTGGCTGGGTATTCTGATTTACTGAAGACCACATGTTTCACTCTGTGAATAAGAGAAAATTTGAAGGAGCCTTCACCTAGCCAGCCCACCTGAAATGAAGGCCAATCAAAGGGAACAAAAGACAGTAAGTTTTTCTATACAGACCTGTTCTCTGGACCCTTTGGCAATTTTCTCCATAAGTCCTTAAAATGAGACTTCATCAGATATAGGGGGGCTTTCTGGGTAGAAGATGTTTTTGCCCCATCTTTTCAATTTCTTCAAGAATGAGAACTGACACAAAAAGCAACCCATACAACACAAAGTGGACATACAGTGTTCTTCAACTTGGCCAACCCCTGCTTCTGGGAAGCCTTCCCCTACCTCCAGAACCAAACAGCAAGGGCCAGTGGTATCCCAGTGGGACCTGTAGCTTGGGAATTAACCCTGGGACCAGTTTTCCCATGAGTCTCACAGAGAGATGTATGCTACAAACAGATTACCTCTGGGAGAGCTTCAGATGCCTCTTTTCCACAATCCAGGTATTGAGAACCTGTCAGTGGCCCCCTCCAAATGCTGGGTTTCTTTCTCAGCTCCCAGTACAACAGAGACCTCCAAGTTCTCAAGGATCCTCGGCGAGATCTAGTCGTTGAGAACTGTGACTCTCTCCAAATGCTGGGCCTATGCAAATTCTTAGTGCCCAGTACAGCAGAAGCCCCAGGGCTCAAGGTTGTTCAAAAAAGGGTGGACCAGGCTAAACACCCGGAGCTCAGTGAGACCTCCAGATGCTGTGGATCTGGGGTAGTTCAGAGACTCACCAGGCTAATAATGAATGAATTTTAAGAGAGGCTTTATTAGCTACTGGCCAGAATCACACCCAAGACTCGGGATTCTCAAAGTGTGTCCCCAGCTATTGTTGGTCTGGGGTTTATAAAGGCAAAAACCACAAGGTTACAGTTTTGGGGTCGAGTTAGAACTCATCCTGCCTACGTGCAGGCAGAGCTTAACTTTTGTACTAGATGTCTTGCAGATGCCTCAGCTTGAGCAAGCAAGCATTTTCATATCATACAGAAGCAGAACCGGCAGTTAGCCTTATGACCCATTATCTAGTATGAACACTAGAGGCAGTTAAACATTTTCACAAGACTAAGCAGTTTTAAGACTGGCCCAAGTATTCCAAGAAGCCATCCATCTTGGTCAAGTTTGCTGACAGGCTACAGTTTACAAAAAGCTTGCAAGCTAAACACAGCAATTTCTTAATTTTAAACATAATGTTGACCATCGCACTTCCAGCACCTCACATAGTATAGTGAGGTCTGTTAAAGGTGACAGCCCCATGACCAATCCCACAAAGTTACTGCTAGAAGTAGCAGGATCTGCTGCTCTCATAGAGGGAACTGTAAAATTAGTGTATGGTACCTGTGCCTTGTGGCCATGAGAATAACAATGGAATAAAAAAATAAAATAAAATAAAAAAAACACATCCCACAGTCCGCTCCTGTGTGCTGGAGAAATGACTTACTACAAAGAACTCCTTGGATAAGATTCCAGTTGTCCTCTTATCATCTAGACAAGGCCCAAAGGACTGCCAAGTTCCTATTTTTAGCCTCATAAATGATTTACTAACCCAGGCATGGTGCCTCACACCTGGAATCCCTGTACTCCAGAGTCTGAGGCAGGAGGATTATGAATTCTAGTTTAGTCTGAGCTAGATAGCAAGACTGTCTGAAAGAAAAAAAGAGTCAAAATAAATGATTTCTTGGGCTGTTTGTCTCTTCTGATCATTCAGAACACAACTCTTGTTCGCCAGACTTCATTTAAGATTCTTGCTTCCCCAGTGGGTCTCTGAAATTTGGTCTGCGTTCAACAGGAGAAACACACCTCCTCTTGATGAAAGGGTACCCTAAGATACAGCATCCTCAGACACTGACTGGTCATGCTGATGAGAACGGGAGGTAGGAATTGCTTAGGAAGATTCAGGGGCGAGGACTCAGAACATAAACAATTCTAACTCTTGTAATGTCCTTGGCTTTGTCCTTGCTGAAGGCCAAGCAAGTCAGAGGAGGGCTCACATTCCTTACTGGCTTCTCATAGCTGAGCTAGCCTGCCTGGAAGCTATATACCAAGTGTGACCCAAACTCCAGATCAGACACTAAGACCATCTGGACAGCTTTGGAACTTGTTTTCATGATGGCAATGAGTTATATCTATTCCCCATTGCCCAGTTTCAGCCCATCTCCTGAAAAATTTGAGAGTCTCAGTTCTTGAGGTGGGAATGTTATAGTAGTCTTGGAGGCCATTAAGGATATCAGGGCTCTATAGAGGCCCATTAGAGCAAAGTTATTTGTTCCCTGTAAAAAGAATGTAATTTATCTCTGTTTCTGGGTGGAAACTTGACATTCTGATCTTCTCCAAAGATTAGAATGTGACATAAATTGTCTTCTCCCAGAAGAGTTGATCCATCTGGGCTTGTCGGTCACCTGGCTAAGAGACCAAGTGATGACTTGAAAACCATGTTAAGATGGTAACTCAGGGTCATTTTGATTTGCATTTCCCTGATGACTAAGGATGCTGAGCACTTCCTTAAATGTCTGTTGGCCATTTGAGATTCTTCTGGTGAGAATTCTCTGTT